TCAGAATTGAATTCTGGAATCTACTACCTAACCTCTCAATGAATGCAAAGCCCTAAAGCACTGCAGTGGTTTGAATAACAATCCATTGTTTGGATGCTTCGGCCCCAGTTAGTGGAACTATTTGGGAAGGATTAGAAGTGTGTCTTCTTGCAGGAAGTGTGTCCCTGGGAAATGGTTTTTGGTATTTTCAAAAGCCCATACCAGGCCCAATCTCTCTGTCTCTCTCTTTCTCTGTCTCTCTGTCTCTCTCTGTGCCCCCCCTCTCTCTCCCCCTGCTGCCTGTAGATCAGGATATAAGGCTCTTAGTTACTGCTCCAGCACCTTGCCTGTCTGCTGCTTCCTGCCATTATGATCATGGACTAACCCTCCAAAACTGTAAGCAATCCCCCAATTAAAGGCTTGCTTTTATAAGAGTAGCCTTGGCCATGGTGTTTCTTCATAGCAATAGAATAGTAACTATGAAAAAGTGTTTTATTCATTGATCTATCTCCAGGACTGAGAATAGTACCTGAAGCAAAGTACTTCATGATTATCTGTGATTGATCACAAATATGAATAGTCATGTCTTTAAGAAAAGACTGCTACAAAACTATCATGAGACTGCCAGCTAATGTTGATCTTTATTCAAATACTCTACTAGATCATTCACCTGGCCCACTTTCCATTCCCTTTAGTAGCATATGCCTTTGTAACACCACAAATCTGTATGTGGTAGGCTCCTTTTGTACCCTGAACATAACACATCATAGAAAGTTGAATTCTGCCCATTTGAATCTAGTTAAGAGATACCAAAAAAAAAAATCTTCTTTAAGTGTGTTGAAGAATTGATTTCCTAGGGAAGAAAACATACATTTAAACCAATAGACATACTACATAAAATTGTAAAACACTAATAAACTGCAACTTAATGTGTTAGATGAAGTGGCACACATACACACACACACACACACACACACACAAAATTTATTCTAACCCTAAAAATGATAACAGTTCATGTTATTAGTACAGATAACTGAAAACATTCCCTGAGCAGTATGTGCTTTATACTCCTGCCTCTACTCCCCTTACTACCACTAAATGGAATTTACTCATTTATTTATAGTTTTTTTTTCTTCATAGCTATGAGACTGGTAGCTGAACTTTATAGCTTTGCGCTATCAATACCTAGCAAATAAAATACTGTTGGTAAACTGTTGATAGATACAGCTCAATATTAGCATAAACATAAAAAAAAAAAAGCTGGAGAGATGGTTTAGCAGTTAAGAGCAGTTGCTGCTCTTCCAGAGGACCAGATTTAATTCCCGACCCACAACCATCCAGGGTATCTGATGCCTTCTTCTGACCTCCACAGGCATCAGACATGCATGTGATATTTAAATATGCATGCTGGCAAAACACTCATACAGACAGAATTAAATTAAATTTCAAAGTAACATATAACATTCAAATAGCCAAAAAAATCAAAGTGTTTCCACAAATTCAAAAGACTTCTACAGTAATGCAAGTGATAACACTTTAGGAAAAGAAAATTAAGTATTTATTAATTGCAAATGAAAAAAAAACACAACTTTTTAAGGTTTACTCATTAGAAGTGTTATTACTGTTTTATATTGAAAAGGCTATACAAAGTTTGAGAAGAGGAAAAAAAATACATGCACTCTTATACTCTAAGGTTTTTGTCTTAAAACGTTCAAAAATCAGCATGAGTTTTCTAAACTGAACAACTGAGAATCAAATGATTCTCACTAAATTTTCATGACACTGGTGACCAAAAATGAGTTCTTGTCATGAAACGTCGTGTGCTTCATTATAACCTCAAGTCTTCGTGAACATGTTATGACTGTGGCCAAAGTAAAGGGAAACAGTAGTGACTATAAATCAATCATGGGCCATGAAGGCAGACAGACTGTATGACAGATGCAATTTCTCTTGGCACCATGTGGGTGTAACTAATTGATGGCAATCGTATGTCCACATTGGCACGGTTCCACGGGGGATGTGTGTGAATATGTCACCACATCTGGATGCTGGGCATGTTGGGGTCCCGAGGCACAAAGACCTGCTAAACCCAGCTGCTCTCAATGAACACCGTGGGAACGTACAGAGTGATGAAAGGGCTCCATTACCACAAACTGTAAATACAGATTTGCTTCATTAAAAGACGAGGTAATTGCTGCAGCCACCTCTCATTCACACAGACATATGCCTCTTCATTAAAAAAAAAAAAGCTACAGCATATACGTGTGTATGTGTGTGTGTACGTGTGTGTGTGTGTGCTTTATCAAATTTTCATTTCTCCTATAAAATGATAACACATATGTAAAGCAAAATCAAAGTTTAACTGATTTCCTCTAATTACAGAAAATCCACATAGAAATTAAGCTGGAAAAGTCTGACAGACCACTGTCACCATGTTTGTAAGAATAGTTCCCTTCCATTTCATTCAAAATACAAAATTCAAAACGTCTTGTCCAAAGCCTATGCTGAAAATTCATCAAATGATAGTAAAAAGTACAATGTATCATATGCAACTCCATTTTTAATATGAAAGGCAGATGAACCTAAACAAGCATCTTTTTATAACTTACAACTAGAGAACTCAGACTGAGCAATAATTTTATTCTGATCCTACATTATGAGTTACCAACAAATTTGATTATTTTTAACAAGTGTTTTCAACAATTATGTAAGACTATGGGGTGTTTTTATGAAAAGGTTTCTGTTATATTCAGAAGATCACTTCAGTAAAAGAAAACTTATAGCTAAGAACCCCCTGTTGAATGCATAATTAAATCTCTCATAAACCTTAAACAATTATCTCCCTATGCAGACTGGCAGAAACCATTGTATACAGTCATAGCTTATATATGTCAACATGGATAAAATTCTCATTTTAACCTGATAAATTAAACATTCATTTGCCTGATATCTTTTCAGACTTCTTCATCTCTCTTATCCATTTCCCTAACTTCGTTCAAGCCACTCAACATTCATGAGGACCTTCTCTGGGAGGAGAGATGAGTGCTCGTGTACATGGCGTGCATGCACATAGGTCAAAAGTCAAACTCAAGTACCAGAAACTTACCTCACGGGAATGGAGCTTACCAATTAGGCTAAGCTGGCTGACCTGTGAGCACCAGGTCCATCAGTCTCTACCTCCACAATGCTAGGCTTACAAGCACAGGCCACCACACCCACCTGTTTACACAGGTGTGGAAAATCAAACTCAGGTCCTCATGTTAGGGCAACAGGCACTTTGCCTACTAAACTACCTCCTCATCCCTTCAGGTTATCATTTTTGACTCTGCATCCACTCCTCTAACACACAACTGGCTTTCTAAGCTGTCTTGTTCCCCTGACTGAGTGACAAGTGAGTAACAAGAGAGGTAGGCCAAATTAAGGACTTCCTTCGCTGAGGATAACCAAAACATGAAAGTGACCTTCCATGCTCTGTTTTATTACAATCGCCACTCACCCCCTAAATGTTCACATGGTGATGGGAGGCGTTACTAATATATTAGACTTGTTCACATGTGGACTGAATAAAGAAAGTAGTTTCTTCTTTAGGAAAATCATATAAGGTTCTTTAACACATCCTTTTCGTTTGTAGGCTTGCAAGTGCTTTTAAATGGCAAGATGATGGCCAAAAAGAAAGGACAGATTGATAGCTGATGTAGAAATAAGAATGAGTAATCAAAAATGAGTTATTTTTTATACTTTAATGAAAACTAAAGTCAATGACTTTTCTCATCTTCAATTTATTTAAGATCATCACCAAATATGAAAATCCTCCACATCACAGTAATGTTGGTGGTCCCTTCCACCACAAAAATAGCATCTTGACTCTTTCTGTATTTAAAAATACAACCATATGTTTTAGGAAGGGACAGGGCAGGAGTGACAGAGAAAAGGGTAGGAAGAAAAAGGAAAGGAAGAAGTAAAATTCAGCTGACACTAAGACCATCTAAGTAACCTCTGACCTTCTGGTCTATGCCTCTTTCATAATCCTAAGTGGATAGGACATTCAAAGATGGAGAGTGAGTCTCTATCCAGTTTGGCACAGATACTCTGACAAGATCTAGGCCCCCTGTTGGGTTTATTTCCTTATCATCTGCCCCAAGACAAAAGCATAAGATTGACATCTAAAAGGAATTATCATTAACAGACATCATCTTCCTAATGAACTAACTCCATTCCATGAATTATCTTGTGTCTCTGATTTATGGTACCAAGTCAATTCAACTGCTAAGGAACCCACAAAATGAACAGCAGTATTCCTATGAAGGAAAACCCCCAAAAGCTCACACTGTCTTTAGTAGATGCTAAGAAACAATGTCCCTTAACAGTACATAAGCACAGCACTGCAACAGCCATCAAGTTCTTCATACAAAAGCCCTGTTTTTGTGTTCCTTGAGATCGATGGGGAATGATCTAGGTGTGCACAATCATCCACTCTTCTCTCTGCTTTACTCACTCCCAAGAGTATCCAATGCTCCCAAGGCAAAGGGCAGAAACAGCAGCAGTGAGAGTAGTTTTCAAAAAGTTCACAGCTTCAGAGGAGCATTCCAGCAGTCATTCCCACCCAACAGTCTCAAAACTAGGTCAGCAATAAGCAGCCTACAGGCTTCATACAGGGCTCACTCTCCAAATAAACAAACAAAACAAAACACTTCTTTGGAGTGAAACAAAAAGAGCACAACCTAGTGCAACTCAAACTCTTGGCACGACCTTGCCCCAAAGCACAAAGAAACACAATTTCTAGCTATTCCCATTCATAAATATCCTACAATTTGGAACAATAAAGTTTCTCTTTCTAAAATGAGTCTATTAGACAGAGCAGCAAAAAACTAAGCAGAAAGAGGTTTGGAGGCGTTTTGACAACTTCATCCCTTCATTTAGGGTTACTCGTCCTAAAAGTCACCTGGAGAGGCAGTCATCTCTTCAAAGACTTGTCAATTCCCTTTCCTTCACACCCAAATACTTACACACAATGCTCTCACCTGACTTTTTTGCCTTGCTCGGTAAGCATCTTCACCAAATCGGCAATGGGGTACTGAGCTTTGGCTGCACAGAGGCCGTAACCTGAGAGGGGACATTAAAAACACAAAAGAATGTGGCTTTATTTTTTAAAATCTATAGATTAAAACCTCTCTCTTGATGAAAACATATTTCTATTCCAACATGAGCAGTTAACTGGACCAAATGAAAGCAGATTTATTATAAATAATCTTTAAAAAATAAAAACTTAAAATTTTTATTATTTTATATTTTATATATTTTGTGTTTATATTTTATTATTATCCCTTCTATGGCTTTTTTTTTTTTTTTTTTTTTTTTTTTTGTGTAGTGAGAGACAGAAAGGGTGTGGATCCAGAAGCAACTGGGATGAGTAGGGAAAGTGGAAACTAATCAGAATATAATGTATGGAAAAAATCTTTTCAATAAAAGAAATCAAACATAGGACAGAAGAAAAAACAACGGTCTGATAATATCTATGACTCTTTTCAAGAAAATACAGGCATTCATTGCAAACTTTCCATAGATTTCAATATATACTTAAAGTCACTTTTTAAAGTTTAAATAAAGTTTATTTATTCAAAAGAAAAAATATTATCCTGAATTTGAGACTCAAAATCTAATGACCGCCTCCTTAATCTCCCAATGAGTCTCATGCTACAGAATGTGCCTGCTGCACTCCATGCTCACATTAGTCTATGTCCCTGCTACACTCCATGCTCACACTAGTCTATGTCCACTCTCGTGTGTTTTTAAACTCTGTATGTGTCTTTGATGATATTGTAGTCCTGTGGATTCTTCCTGGCTTTGTTACTATTCTTCCTCTAATACCTTGAATAGTTTTTCTTCTGTTCTCCTCCTTAAATGGCCAACTCTTCCCTCGAGGCTTCCAATTTGTCTGTTACCTCTCCTTATAGCTAACCTAAGGATTTCAGCAATCGTTCCAGGTCCTGCTGGCTCAACTTGCAATTTGAGCTCCAGCATGACCACTGTCCAAACTTAATGTCTTCAAAGGAAGAAGAAGAACTGAAAACCCTTCTCTTCCAACTATTCTCCCATATTCAAATATATAAAAAATAGTCCTTCCTACTTGAGGTTTGCTTAAGTATAACCAACAATGTCAGTCACCTCCCTTCTCCATTAACTCTAAGATTATGTCCATATTACCTGTAGAGTGACAAATCATATCTGTTCATACTTTCCTAGCCCTTTTTTCCAATTGCCAACTCTTTGCTCTATCTATCACTTCTGCTTTCTCCTACCCACAACACCATCCATCCTCTAAGGCTCAAAACAAATCCTAATATCCCTTCAACCCTTCTTAGGTTCCTCATGAGAAAAAAGAAATTCTATGTGGTTCAGTTTAGCCACTGTCATAACACACCTGACATCATTTAGCTCCCTATCTGACTTCTAAATTGGGATAGACAGTGTCTGGAGGAAAGATACATATGTATCTTTCCTAGGGGAGGGAGAGGGAACTGAGATTGACATGTAAAACAATCTTGTTTCTAATTCAAATTAAAAAAGAAAAAAAAAGAAAAGAGACTAAGCTTATTGAGTCTAATGAATGAGTCCAATGTTTCCACATGCCATACCTAATATAATCTTCACCATAAGCAAGACTTACCAATAATATCACATGTATCTAGAGCTCAAAAAGATGGCTAGAACATGCTACATCAATTGACAGAATATTTAATGTTACTCCAAAATATTAACGTAAACTGAGAGTTTTCAATATTCTCATTCAGTGACCATTCAGTTGCTACTATTTCCATTGTGTTTTCAAAACTAAGGTTCCTATGGCTACACAGGTCATAGGCCCTAGAGGAAAATCTACTCCTATTACACTGCTAAATGGACATGGTATTAAATTGATTCCTAAAGACTTGTTTTTATTCCCATAGCATCTCTCAAACCTCATCTGTGAAGCTTCTACTTCTACCATGAATACCACAGTGACTCATATCTGGTCAAGGTGCAGAGTAAGAGACTGAAGAGTACTCAGTGAAATGGGACTTATTTACTGCAGCCACTCTGCCCAAGGTTCCTGGGATCATTGCAGAAGGGACAGAACACCTCTGTTAGAAATGGTGGATGACCACAAGGAGACATTATCTTGTGGGAACAGCAGGGCAGCTGCACATGCAAATTCACAGTGGCTGTCATAGCTTGCTCTAAGCTTATGCAAATCCAATCCAGACCAAATCCCAACCTGGAGATGGGAGCTGGGCACAAAATACCACTCGTAGCAATGAAGTTATTGGCAACTGTTAGCTGCTAATGACAGGGCTCGTGTTGAGTCAACAATGCTCCACAGGAGGACCACACACCCACTAAAACTTGGGTAACACAAACTGGTCTTGATGAGGAAATAAAAACACACACACACACAAGTTGGGTGAGTAGAGAAAGAAGATAGGTCTGGGAAGGGCTGGGGATGAAAGGGCTCAAAACGTAGGTGAACTTCTCAAAGAACTAATACAATCTTTAATGAGGAGGTTTCAATTTACCTTTTTCCTATTATTCAATGTAATCAATTAGAACAGCCATTATAGCTTGTTTTGTGATGTAGAATTTACTTTTATTTTACCTGGAGTAATAACAATGCTGTTGGCTTCCCGGATCATCTCAACTGCATTGTCAAGGTTGATTTCTGTATGTGTGCCAGAGATTTCCATTGGTTTACCACCGGCTGTTGAAGTTGTACCATAGCCTCCAAGAATCACATTAGCCAGGGAGCGATTCATTGCCTAAAGAGCAAAATCATCACCTATGAGAGTTCAACCCATGGAATTCTTTAAGAAAAGCATGAAGTATATGTACATGAAACTCAACATCAATTTAAAGGAATTTATTTAATTATTTAAGGAATCTTAGCCAGACTGACTTCTAAATTTAGTTCAAAACTTAAATAACAGAGACATGTAAGAACCATACCAATTTTCTAACCAGGTCAACTGCACACTAATATTTTGGGGGTTTTGTTGGTGGTAGTGGTTTTTTTGTTTTGTTTTGTTTTGTTTTTTTGGGTTTTTTTTTTTTTTTTGGTTTTTCAAGACAGGGTTTCTCTGTGGCTTTGGAGGCTGTCCTGGAAACTAGCTCAGTAACTAACCAGCCTGTAGACCAGGCTAGCCTTGAACTCACAAAGATTCACCTGCCTCTGCCCCTGCCTCCCGAGTGCTGGGACTGAAGGCATGCACCACCACAGCCTGGCTACACTAATATTTTTATACAAAGTATAAAAATTAATGGAAATTCTGATGTACTGTTATGGTCTAGATATTAAATAAGCAACTTCTCTCTCCATATTTAAATGTACTTTACCAAAGTGAAAGAAAACCAGAGACATATTTATTTGCAAGAAGAAAATGTTCACAAAATAATTTTATATCTCTCTCCAGTAGATTCTGCTACTGCATGCAAGCTGTCAGAATACAACCAGAAGGAATTCAAATGATAATTATACATTTCACTGGGAACTCCACAGTCCTTTGCATTCAAACAAAATATGGGTATGGACACTCTCACTTTCCAAATCTATTACAGTTCCATGAAATCTTATGCCTGATTCTCATGGGGGCAGATGGATTCGTCATTCTAAATGCTTCTAAAGGTTTTCCATGAAGAAAGACTACTGACCTGACATGTGGGCAATTTACTGGTTGAGAATTTACTATGATAAGAATAAGAAATGTAAGGCAAATTCGATATTTCAAATTTGGTTGTAGTCTATCCACTATATTACTGAAAAGCTTACAGTTATTAATCTACTACTTTTTCAAAGACAGCACTCTATTTAAAAAGTTAAAAAAAAACATACAAAGTGTTTAGAAATCTTCACTAATACCACATCATAAAAATACAGGGCCATCCATACAACAATAAGTAGGCCAGTGACAACCTTACAGAGACATTTACACAGCTGGGGAGGTCTAGCAATAAGAAAGAGGGGAGAAGGAATGTGGAAAATAGCCACAGTTTAATAAATAACATAAATTTCAAAGATGATGGATAAGGGGATAAGAAAAAGTTTGATGTTTTGAATTAACATCCTAATCCCAGCCTGGCAGGAAGTTTGTAAACTCCTGAATAAAAACTGAAACAGTCACAACTGGGACTCCCCAAACATTCAATTTTTGATGTCTATAAATCTTTTCCAGTTTTGATTGTGAGATTCAGAGATTCAATTATCAAAAAGTATGTTCTACTAAACTCTCGTCATTAAAAATTAAATTTTTTAAAACCTATTTTGGGGTCTGGAGAGGTGGTTCTGTGGTTAAGAGAGGTTGCTGAGCAAGCATAAGGACGGGAGTTAGATCCTAGTTAACCCCCACCCCACCCCAAAAGTTTGATATGGTCCCACACACAACAGCAATCAATGCACTGAGAAGCAGCCCTGAGGTAGGTTGCTAGCCTAGGCAAAACCATGAGCTCCAGACTCAGCATGAGACCCCACCTCAAAAGATCAAGGCAGAGAGTGAGAAAGGAAGGCACCCAGTGCCCTCTCTGTCCTCCATACATACAGGCCCAGCACGCATGTGTGCATATACATACATACATACATACATACATACATACATACA